CCCCAAAACCCCAAAACCCCAAAACCCCTTGATCATGAATTTTAGTGAAATTGGTTAATGCAGATGTTTATTTAAAGATTTAACAAATAAAATATTAAGGTGTATAAACTGTGGGACTAAGTCAAGACCTCACAGTTAACCAAAAATAATCAAGCAGACTTATCATAAGTATGGTCTAGTCATTATTTGATTATTATTATCTTAGTTTGTTGAAGACTTGGAATCTCTCAGTAAATTTACTTGAGAGATTAAGTGTTTGGAATTCCTCACATTTTGTCTAGAGGGAAATGGTGATAATCTTCGTATGGATATCTCACAAAGATCTTAGAGTCAGGATTGGGCAAAAATTCATTGCCATTAAAAGTGTAGCTGATAGAATGGTCCTTAATCCATTTCCTCTCTTTACTCTTATCGGGATTATTTTCTTGCTTCAATATGTAGTCTCTGAATTTGTCATTTGTCACTATGAAAGCATTGAACTTCTTTGCATACTAGATGCAGTAAGAGTCATCATAATCCTAAGGTGGTGTCTTAACTATGAAGCCTTTATCAGCCAAAGAGTGTAGGAGCGATACATTATCTGGAATCTGAGAGACTTTCACATTCTTAAGATTCATTGAGGCAAGTTTCTTTTTAGTATTGACCTAATCATAATTGAAGAGGTAATCAGGAAGGAAACAGACTACTTAATGACCATTCTTATGCCAGTATTCAATTACTATTTAGACACCCAAAACTGAGAAGAATTTACTACCTCCGTGCCTCATTGCAGAATTTTAAGCATCAACAATAATCATAGGTTTTTAGTCCACTCTTTGATTTACTCTTGATATTTAATCAATCTAGCTGAAAAAGTCCTCTGATTCCTTGATTTCCTCAGATGAGTCATTCTTCTCATCAGAGCTCGATGAAGAATTATGCTTTAGATCTTCAAAAGTACATTTAATGAGTTCAAGATGATCCTTAAGAATTAAGCTTCTCACTAAATACTCCCTCTATTGCGGACATTTCTCTCCACAGCCTACTTATTTCTTATGATCTAAATATGATTGAAGTGGTAAAAAGCCGATAAAGAAAAACTCTTCTTTCAACAAAGTGCTGCCAATAAATTAAGTAATTTATAGTTATTCTTCTTCGTCCTTAATTGATTTTAACTCTAAATGGACATAATTACTGAGGAGTTTGTGTATTCTAGATAAATCTTAGACTATTTATGGATTTGTTTCGAAAATGGTGCTTAACAATTAATCATCTTTATGCAAGGTCATCCAAGTCAATATTGGTGTTAAAGCCTCTAGCCAGAATGACGGTAGACTCGATATTCTATCTATTATAAGGAGTAGAAGCTATGTTATTTGCTTGATAGCAAACTGAGGAAGTTAATGGCTTAATGCCTTCTCAAGCTCTTATCTTGCAGATTATTTTTAATCTACTTCATCTCTCATTGAATTTTAGTTTTTCCTCCCTTGCTTCTGGAGATCTTTAATTGTATCAGCAATTGTAGCATGTGCAATAAAAATCATTATGATACTGAGATGGATAATCTTATCGATTTCTTCAATTTTGTTTGCCTCCTTGTCAATTGAAATGAAGTATTCATTGAATAGTTGAGAGACTTCAGGTTCCAACAATTCTAGTTCATCAATACCTATTCTTGTATATAGTATACCTTAGAATCTAAAGAAAGCCAAGATGAAATCATAAAATACTTTATCATCTCTGACCTTTCTGTTGTTAAGTCCCCTCAGGGCAGTTTTTGAGTTTGTGAATCCTCTCTCCTAATTGAATTTGAGTCTTATTTCCTCAAAATGGTCAATTAAACTTTCCCTGGCGGATTCAAAAGGGAAATGACAGGAGAGTGATCACATAAAATAGTAAATTGAAGCCAAATAGTCCTTTTCTTTAATAGAGATTACAGCTAGTTGGTTGAAAATTTTGCCCTCAAAGGGGTAAAGTGTCTTTGCTCTATTGTAAAAACTCCAACTTTCTTCAATCATCTTTTTGTCTCACTTTCCAACAACATCTTTGTCTTAATTTTCACATTTAGCTTTATATCTTGAAAGATCTCCCATATACAAGAGAAGCCATCCTGAAATTCTTCTAGCGAAATTGAGTGACTCAATATTTGTTTTAAGTATGTCTGAATTTTTAAATATCTACTAGAAAAAAAGTTTAAGTGTATCAAAGTATTTATCGACAGAAACTCTAAGTTATTCTCACGCCTTAAAGCTTTCCTTTTGCTACTTGTAAATTTATTCAAGATTTTGAATTTCAAATATGAGAACACCCCAAAGTCTTTTCAAAAGTCTCTTTTTAAGGATGAACTCATAATTGAATCTATTTAGACTCTTCATAAACATATTAACCAAGGTTTTTATTGCCTCTTCATAATATCAATCTAACTAGTTCATGGGAAATTATTGCTGCACCTAAAATTTGTATGAATTTTAAAATGGGTATCTTACTTGTAGTTAGAGTTCTAAGTATTTCTCTATCTTTTTGAACACTTTTATGAACTCTTCATCATCAGATAATTAGCCCTAGGCTTTTTCTAAGATCTTTACAATGGAAGATTGCTCCTATCTTGAGGCATCAATAATTTCTTATTAGTTATCAGGATCTCCCATTTCGACCATTCTATAGTCTCAATCATCTTGATTATGATACTTTCTCTGCCTTTAGCCTCCTCTAGATTGCTTCTTGTATTTTTTATTATCGTTTATCTAGTTGTATTGCTGATAAACCATTGAGGTTTGAATCATGCCTCCTTTTTGTTAGGGCTTTTGTATGCTATTATTTGTAGAATGAGCTGAATTTCCATTAGCAGAGTTGTGGTTGCTATTACCTTAGTAGGCATTTGTACTGATACTGGAACTGCTTTGATACTGATTTTACTGTGAATGTGTCTTAGATTTAGGGTAAAATGGTTGACTATTGACTGGGTCAAGAGGTTTATTAGATGAATAGTGTTAAGACGATTATGTGGACTGCATTCCTTTTGGTTGACTAATCAATTAAAAACTATTAAATATAAATTTATTATTTATTCTGAAATTTATATTGTAAAGCCAAAATTTTCCAAAGGGGTTTTGGGGTTTTGGGGTTGGGGTTTTGGGGTTTTGGGG